GTGGAGGGTTCCTTGTGGTCGGGCCCCTACTGTAGAATGTCATTTGTGATCATGACGACGAGAATCACGACCAGGGGCAAACGCTGAGCGTAGTGTCTGTGGGGTCAGTGAGAGGATGTTGAGCGCTCGTGTTTGTCAAAGCCAAGGTGTCTGCCAAGAGACGATGCCCATTTCTGAAGCTGCAGAGGAGCTCAGGGTAGCCATCAGAAGGGCTGTGCGGGGCACTGCCCTCATCATTCACTTCCCGGCTTCTTGCGAGTCTGTTTGAATAGTGACTCACGTTGTCAATACCCCAAGCGCGGCAGACTCCACCCGACACTGCGACCAACAGCGTTCCCGCACCTTCGTCCACTATGTTTTTATCGCTCACTCTTCGATCATATGTCGGTGCATGTAATCAAAACTGTTCTTGCGAAAACAATACCAGCCCTGGAATTTCGAACACGCGTACACGTGCGCCACAAGGAAGCGACCATCAGGGCTTGGAGGGTGGTGTCTGGCTGGCATCACGCAAATGAGAGGTCCGAACAAAACTCAGTTACTAGACTCGATCAGTCTTCCCCCGAAGTTTCAGGAGTCCAGGTCGCCGTGAGCCCTGAGCGTCTTGGGTCACTCAGCGCCTTCCGCGCTCGCTTTCGCCCCAGGAGATTCCTGAGCAGCAGCGTAAATGGAAGAGGGGGAGGAGCAGGAGCTGGAGAAGGAGGCAGGAGGAGGCAGGGGGTGGAGGAGAACGATGATGATGTTGATAGTTCATGGCGACGAGGGGGATGATTCTCGCGGCGGCGGCCTCGACGACGGTGATGATGATGATGGTGATGATGATGATGATGCTGATAATAATTATGATGCTGATTACTATGATGATGATTGTGATGGTAGTGGTGATGCAGATGATGAAGATGACGATGCTGATGTTGTTGATGATGATGATGACGACGATGGCGATGATGACAATATTGTTGATTATGATGGCGATTCTGATGAAGGTGGTGATGGTGATGGTGATGGTGATGTTGAATCGGTTGCTCCTGATGATAATGACGATTCTGGTGATGCTGATGACTATCATGATGTTGATGATGCTGATGATATGGATGCTGCTGATGAATGCGACGGTGGTGATGATGATGATGATGATGATTATGAGCTTGATGATATTTCTGGTGCTGCTGATAATGCTGCTGATGATGATGATGCTGATGTTGCTGAGGATGATGCTGATGACGATGCAGATTGATGATGACAATGCCAATGAGTATGAGTCTGATGATGGTGGAGGTCATGATGATGATGATACTGATGATGATGACGATGATGCTGATAGTGATGATGATGATGCTGATGCGGATGATGATGCTGATGATGCTGATGATGATGATGCTGATGATGCTTCTGATGATGATGACGCTCATGATGATGATGGCGACGACGATGATGATGCTGATGCTGTTGGTGGTGGTGGTGGCAATGATGATGTCCATGGCGATGGTGATGATGCTGATGCTGATGATGACCATGCTGCTTATGATGATGATGATGATCATGCTGATGATGATGAGGATGCTGATGATGATCATGACGATGATGATGATGCTGATGATGATGATGATGATGATGATGGCAATGATGATGATGATGATGCTGATGATGATGATGCTGATGATGATGATGATGATGACGATGATGATGATGCTGCTGATGCTGCTGATGCTGATGATGTCGATGGTTATGGTCATGATGATGATGATGATGATGATGATGATGATGATGATGATGATGACGACACCGATGACGATGACAAGGATGGTGACGACACCGATGACGGTGACGACACCGATGAGGATGGTGATGAGGATGCGGTTGAGGATTTGTGTGAAGATTCGGATGAGGATGCTGATGGTGATGTTGATGGTGGTAGTGAGGATGATGCTGATGATCATGATGAGGAGGAGGCAAAGGAGGAGGAGGATGAGGATGATGATGCTGATGCTGATAATGATGATGATGATGATGATGATGATGATGATGATGATGATGATGATGATGATGAAAGTGATGATGCTGCTGATGATGCTGGTGATGATGCTGATGCTGATGCTGCTGCTAATGATGATGATGATGCTCATGCTGATGCGGATGCTGATGCTGATGATGATGCTGATGATGATGATGATGATGACGATGTTCATGATGATGACGAAGACGACGATGACGATGCTGATGCTGATGATGATGATAGTGGTGGTTGTGGTGGTGATGCTGATGATGCTGATGAGGATGAGGATAATGATGATGCTGATGCTGCTGATGATGATGATGCTCATGCTGATGCGGATGCTGATGCTGATGATGATGCTGATGATGATGATGACCATGTTCATGATGATAACGAAGACAACGATGACGATGCTGATGCTGATGATGATGATAGTGGTGGTTGTGGTGGTGATGCTGATGATGCTGATGAGGATGAGGATAATGATGATGCTGATGCTGCTGATGATGATGATGATGCTCATGCTGATGCGGATGCTGATGCTGATGATGATGCTGCTGATGATGATGATGACGATGTTCATGATGATGACGAAGACGACGATGACGATGCTGATGCTGATGATGATGATAGTGGTGGTTGTGGTGGTGATGCTGATGATGCTGATGAGGATGAGGATACGGATGATGCGGATGATGATGATGCTGATGATGATGATGATGCTGATGATGATGATGATGATGATGAGGATGCTGATGCTGCTGATGGTGCTGATGCAGATGATGATTCTGATGATGATCATGTCGATGCTCTTGCTGATGATATCGATGATGATGATGCTGATTATGATGATGATGATGCTGATGTTGATGCTGATAATGATGATGCTGATGCTGCTTATGATGCTGATCATGTTGATGATGCTGATGATGATGCTGATGCTGCTGATGATGATAATGTCGATGGTGATGGTCACGATGATGGTGATGAGGATGAGGATGAGGATGATGATGAGGATGAGGAGGATGCTGATGCTGCTGATGGTGCTGATGCTGATGATGATTCTGATGATGATCATGACGATGACGATGATGATGATGATGATGATGATGATGATGATGATGCTGATGATGATGAGGATGATGATGATGATGATGACGATGATGATGATGATGATGATGTTGATGCTGGTGCTGGTGCTGAAGATGATGATGCTGATGATGATGATGATGCTGCTGCTGCTGATGATGATGATGCTGCTGATGATGATGCTGATGATGATGATGATGATGATGATGATGATGATGATGATGATGATGATGATGATGATGATGATGATGATGATGATAAGGAGGAGGAGGAGGAGGAGGAGGAGGAGGAGGAGGAGGAGGGGAAGTCGGATGACCATGGGGAGGAGTATAATGAGCTAGGGGACAAGGGGGGAGGCTTACTCCTTCCATCTGCCTCCCTCCCTTCCTCCCTTGTGTAGTCTTTTTCCTCCCTTCTTCCCTCCCTCCTCGTCCTCCTCCTCCTCCTCCTCAAGCTCCTCCTCCTCCTCCTCCTCCTCCTCCTCCTCTTGCTATTTGTTCGATTCTCGATCCTCCTCTTCCTCCCCCCCTGAAGGCCCGGGGGCGCCCGAATGGGTCACCACCCCTGTGGCACAGGTGGACCGCTGGGGCACTGGGGTCCTGGTCCAGCGTGCCTCGTGGGCCACCCTGGGGCCGCTCGAGAGGGGCGCCAGAGAGGAGGAGGAACGGCACAGCACAGGGCGACGAGATCTCTGCACATCCACCGCCCCGGGCCTGCCCCACCCCGGGTCCAGCAGCGGCGTACAGTCGGGTCGCTGAAGAAGGAACCCTTTTCGTTGGGGAGGGGCTCCGTGTTCCTTAAGTGTTTCGCAGCTTGCCTCAGGTTTTCCTTATGTTTTCGACGGGAAATCGAAGTTTAACCCATGAAAAAAATGGGCCTCGTTCCTTATTTAGGGTTCCTGAGGTCAACGCCCCGACTGTATACGGCCTCCAGACATGGCCAGGGAGGCATATACACCGCTCGTGGACCCGATTCCTGGAGGGAGAAGAGGGGAGCGCACACCACCAGGCAACGATCACACAGCGAGGCCAGCGGGCAAGCAGAGAGCGAACGGCAAGAGCCGAAAGCGTCCTACCAGCGTGGCCGAGATCAGGGCCAATCATCGGGTGGGGGAGAAAAAGGGACACACGACACAGGACTGGACCTAAACGGTGTTTTGCTGGATTTCGGCCGTGCTTTGTTTTTCGTTTTGGGAGGGAGGTACAGGAGAACAGGTAGAGCAAAACGAACTACAAAACGATCACAAAACGAAAACATCCAGGTCCAGCCCTGAAACATCACGCAGATACCGCTCCTGGGCTCCGAAGAGAAGCAACAAAACATACGCCGCGCCGACCTCCAGAGAAGTCCCGACCCATTCCCCCTGGGGGTGGTCTCTCATCCCGAGTCGTTGCTTGATGGTCCCTCCTCCTCCTCCTCCTCCTCCTCCTCCTCCTCCTCCTCCTCCCCTCCTCCACCTGCTCCTCCTCCTGCTCCTCCTCCCCCTGGGCCTGGCGAGGGCCCCAAAGGTCGAACATTCAGTGCAGATCCATGCCGAGAAACCCCCCTGCTCGCCTCCAGGGTGCCCTGGACTGCTTGGGTGTCGATGGTTTTGCCATGGACAGCGTGTCGTTCCCGCACCAAAGAGCAGTGGACGCCCTGGGGTCTGAGGACTGGGTTTCTTGTGGAAGGTTCCCTGTAGACTGGCCTCCGCTGTAGCGACAAAGACAACTTCACCGCCGCCCTGTGGGGCCACGGAGCGTGTGGGGGAGGATGGATGAGGGAGTAGAGGGAGGCATGGGAGGAGGGAGGAGGGGGGAGGAGGAGGAGGAGGAGGAGGAGGAGGAGGAGGAGGAGGAGGAGGAGGAGGAGGAGGATGGTTGGGAACAAGGATGGCTGGGAGCAAACACAACCTCACCGCCGCCCTGCGGCAGAGGTCACCCACGCGAGCCGCCACCACGAGCTGCTCTCGCTGGAGCAGCCGCCGCCTCGGGGCACCGCGCCGGCCGCTGTCTGGCCCCTCGTGCTCTTCCCCCTCGTCTTTGTCCTCCTCCTCCTCCTTCCTCCTCCTCCTCCTCCTCCTCCTCTTCCTCCTCCTCCTCCCTCCACCTCTCCTCCTCCTCCGCTAGCCTCCTCTCCTCGCGGCAGCCCTGCCTGGCACGGCCGCCCTCGTCTTCGTCCTTGCCCCTCTTTCGGGGTCCACCTGCCCTGCCTCGCTTTCTTACAGCGAGGCAGGGCAGTGGACCCCGAATCAAATCCGGAGGAGACATTAAATTCGGAGGAGAAAAACGGCTCGGCGTTTTTCTCCTCCGAATTTAATTCGGAGGACAAGAACGCCACAAACAGAAACTTGTGGCGCTCCGCGCGGATTTCTTGGATCCGCGCTGGGCCCCCCGGCGGCGCCTCCGGCGCTGCCCCTGGTCCAGCGCAGATCCAAGAAATCCGCGCTGAGCGCCATAAGTTTCTGTTTCTGGCGTTTTCCTTCTTCCATGATGTGTATGTCTTGCGCTGCGCGCGACATTTCCTATGAGTGCTGTGTCCACTCCTCCCTCTCTCTCCTCCCTACCACCCATCCCCCGTCCTTTTCCCCCTCCCTCCTGTGCCCCCTCCCCTCCCTTCCCTCCCTTCCTCTCCTCCTTCTCCCTCCTACAGCCTCCGACCTGCTCTGCGCTTCCCCTTCCCCCCATGGTGTCTTTGCCTCAGTCCTCCTCTCATGCCCCCCTGCCTCATTCACCCTTCACACCCCTCATTCTACTCCCCCCAACCTTGTCCTGAGGCTCTTTTACTTCCCTTCCTCCGACCTCGGTTCGCTTGTTCTGACTGCAGCGGATCTGGGCGCGAAGGTCGTCAATCTTCCAAACGTAACCTCCTTTCCCCTCCCCTGTCTCATTTGCGCGCAGGTCGTCGAACTTCAAACGTACCCTCCCTTCCCCTCCCCTCCCCGATCGCATTTCCTCCTCCTGTCCTGTTCCGCTCCCATCTCCTCCCTTCCCACCGTCCACCCCTCAATGCAGGGAAGTCCTCGGAGTGAGCGCGCGCGCGAACTCGTATGTATCCCTAGCAGGGCCACTCGGCACTGGTCAGGCACGCGGGTGGACTGGTCTTGTGCTGCAGGCATGCTGTAGGAATACAGTAGGACTGCGACGGATATGATATAGCACTACGGTCTGATTCGTATGGGAGTGTTATGGCGATACAGCGCGAGTGCCGTCGGTATGCTGTCGGTATGCAGCATAAACGCTATAGGAACACTTATGTCCACACGAGACATTCGCTATGAATCGCACAACCACGACATAAGTGTTATTGTAGGAGTCGGATAGGAAGGACATCTGATTAATGTATACACGCTGCATTGCACTGTCAGGATAACGGTCGACACACGACACGACCAGATATCACATTTGTTTTTCGCGTTGTCTTGCCCTGCAACGCTTGCGTTCAGATTTTTTCAGGTCGCAAAGCAAAGGGGGCTGTCCACGCGCCACAATCGTGTGGTCGCATTTCTACATTCGGCCTATCGTACCCCCCACCATGTTCCTGCTGGAGCACTCCAGTGGCATTCCCACGCCATTCCCCCGTAGCTCCTGTGGCGTTCCCATCATGATCCTGTCGTGTCCTTACTGCATTTGTACCGTATTCCTGCAGTTCCCCTACACCAGACGAGCCGCACACTTCAAACACGAACACGTTCCCACGCCCTCCGCTGTTGATTATTTTCTTAGGCCCCACGAATGGGTCGTGTGGCCCTCGTCCTGATAGTTTTGATAGTTTCTTGCATCACATCGAAGACGCCTACGGCGAATCATCGCCGCGCCATGCCTTTCGCACGAGCCTATGTGGCCGAACGTTGCGGCCAAAGCTCGACCAAGCTATCGGACTTCGTGTTATCCCCCTAGCCGTTGTGGAACCACTTCGGGGAACACGCGGGAGGGTAATAAGAATAAGGGGAGGAGAGGGAGGAGACCGGAGGAGGCGGAGACGGAGGAGGAAGAGGAGGAGGAGGTCTCTTGGGAGCCTCGCGGGGCACGCTTGTGGCCTCCTGGGGGCCTCTTGGAGACCTCTCGGGGGCTTCCTTGGGCCTCTTGGGGGCCTTTGGAGGCTCCTTGGGAGGTCCTTTAGCCGTCTGAGGGCGTTCCTGGCCCGTCTGACGCCGTCGGGAGCCGTCTTGCGGGCCTTTCTGGGCAGACTGGGGACCCTCTTGGGGCGCTTTAGGGCCGTCTGGGAGGCCATCTTGGGGGTCTCGAAGGTCTCCTGGGCAGTCTTAGAGCCCTCTTGGGGTCGTCGTGGGGGCCTCTTGGGCCGTAAGGGGGCATCTCGGAGGCCTCTGGGGCGCTCTTGTGGCCATCTTGGTGGCCTTCGGGGCCGTCTTGAGCCGCCTGAGCGCCGAAACTAAGCAACCGCGCCCAAATCTGTCAACCGTCTATGGCATCTCGCGGATGTAGGCCCCTTCGGGTCTTCCTGGAGGACCTCTTGGAGACCTCTTGGGCAGTTCTTGGGCCGTCGTGGGCCATCTTGAGGCCACATTGGGCCGTTTTGGCTGCATCTTGGGCCGTCTTGGAGGCATCTTGCTGCTATTGGGGCCATCTTGGCCGTCTTGGAGGCTATCTTGGGCGTCTTGGAAGCCACCTGGGACCGTCTTGGGGCCCTTTTGGGACCGTCTTGGGGGCCTCTTGGGCTGTCATGGTACCATCTTGGAGGCCTCTTGTGCGGTCCTGGGGCGATCCTTCGGGTGTCTTGGGCCGTCTTGGGCCTTCGGAAGGCCCAAACGTGGCAGGTAATGAAGGTGTGCCCCCCAAGGGGGTACGATCGAAGACGAAGAGTGCGGGTATCGTGAGTTTGAGATATACGTGTTGCGTGGCACGCCAGCAGATACGTAGGAGCGAACAGTCCTAACATGCTTTTGCTGTTGTTGTTGCTGTTGCTGTTGCTGTTGCTGTTGTTGTTGTTGTTGTTGTTGTTGTCGTTGTTGCTGTTGTTCTTGCTGCTGTTGTTGTTGTTGTTGTTGTCGCTGCTGCTGCTGTTGTTCTTGCCGCTGCTGATGTTGCTGTTGCTTCTGCTGTTGTTGTTGTTGTTGTTGCTACTGTCGTTGTTGTTGCTGTGGTTGTTGCTGTTGCTGTTGCTGTTGCTGTTGCTGCTGCTGCTGCTGCTGCTGCTGTTGTTGTTGTTGTTGTTGTTGTTGTTGTTGTTGTTGTTGTTGTTGTTGTTGTTGTTCAACTCTCATTTCTAGTGAATGACTGTTGTTGATTCCCCTTATGTTGAGTATTTGTTTTTCAATGAAAATGCATATCCCGGGGCTCCCACCCTGTTATTTAACAAGGGAACGCGAGGGGCCACTAACCTACGCTGTTGGCCTCCGAACTACATCAACACCGGCTCCCGCCTGATGCTTCCTTATTCCCAAATCGCGCTCTCGCGCGGGACGTGCTCACAAATTATACAGGAATCGCGCTCTCGCCTGGGACGTCCTCGCCAATTATTCAGACGCCCCGCGCTCTCGACACTCAGGAATCACGCTCTCGAAATCGCGCTATCGCGATTCATGCACGATGCACGCTTCAGCAACCTGCCTGCTCGACCTTGCCGCTTGGGCCCGCCTTCCCGACCTGCCCGTTAGGGTCTACCCGCCCGATGGGCCTGTTTGGCTCTGTCATGTGTTTTCTGCTCGTAGCCCCCCTCTTGCTACTCTCTCTCTCTCTTGTGCTCTATCCTCCTCCCTCTCACTTGTCCCTTCCATCCGTCGTCTCTTCCCTTGTTTTAGGGGTTGCACGAAATACACGTTGCAGGTAAGAGAGATACATACCCCCAAGGGGGTACGATCGAAGACGAAGAGCGTGGGTCTCGATGGTTGGGGATATACGTGTTGAATGGCCCGCGAGCAGAAGAGAGAACAGTCTGAACATGTATGTTGTTGTGGTCGTTGATGAATCTTATTTCAAAGGTATACTTTTCGTTAATCCCCCCTCCGGTAACCATTGTTTTTTTCAATTGCAGTGCTTCTCCCGGGAGTTGCACCCTGTTTTCAAAAAAGGAAACATTCGAGCGGTCACCAAACTGCGCCCCTGGCCCCCGGCTTACAACAACAGCAGTTCCCGCCAGATACATTCTAACAATTTATTGCCAGATCGCGCTCTTGCACAGGATGACCTCACAATGTATGCAGTCATCGCGCTCTCGCGTGGGACCCGCCCGTTAGGGTCTACCTGCCCGATGGGCCCGTCTGGTTCTGTCACGTGTTTTCTGCTCGTAGCCCCCCTCCTGCTACTCTCTCTCTCTCTCGTGCTCTATCCTCCTCCCTCCCCCTTGTAAGACGAAGAGTGTGGGTCTCGATGGTTTGGGAGTGTTAGCGGCTTTCTACCCCGTGTATCATGAAAAATCGGCGCTTACTATTTCATGTATCGGATACGCTGAGTACTAGTATAGATATATATATATATATATATATATATATATATATATATATCCCGTGTATACGGAATCACTGGGTAACAGGAACCTATTATTCCGTGTCTACGGATACATGGAGTGCTAGCGGCCCATTGTTCCGTGTATAAAGAGTAATAGGCGCTTAGTAGTTTGTGTACAATGCTACACCGAGTAACTTCGGTTAATTACTCCGCGTGTACGGACACACGGAGTAGTAGGGGCTTGTTCTTGCGTGCGGGCGGAGTAGTAAGTGCATATTGTTCCGTGTATCAGATACACGGAGTAGTAGCGGACGATTGCTCCGTGTCTAAGGAGTAAAAAGCGTTTACTATTCCGTGTGTCGGAAACACGGGGTAGTAGCGGGTTACAACTCAGTGTTTACGGATAAGCGGAGTAATAGCGGCTTATTCTTCCGTGTATATGCATACATGAAGTATTAGCGGCCTATTCGCCCGTGTATACGGGCACACGGAGTAACGGCGGCTTATTATTCAGTGTATACGGGTACACAGGGTAATCGCGGCCTATTTCCATGTGTATACGGGCACACGGAG